TAGTAGCTACTACACATGTAGTAGCACTACACGTGTAGTGTGTAGTAGCTACTACACGTGTAGTAGTGTAGTAGTTACTACACGTGTAGTAGTGTAGTAGTAGCTACTACATGTGTAGTAGCTACGACTACACATGTAGTAGTAGCTACTACATGTGTAGTAGTAGCTACAGGCCCAGCACTTTAAGAGCGCCAAGCTAAATAATTTCAAGCTGTCAATTCCGGTTCAGTGATTCTGCACTTGCTCTATCACTATAGTACTATACCGCCTTAAACTTTAATGAACGACTGGGTGTTTAAGGTTCGCGATTTGTCGTATTATCTGGCTGTATAGCAAATAAAAAAAAGATACAATTACTTTACTTGACTTAAAGCGTTCGCGACTGCACGAATTCACATTCTTTGGGTCTTTCGGTAAAGTCACGTAGATGGTTCAAAGAAAATAACAAAAAACTACGACGTTTCGATCACAACACAAACGAACGATCGCTTGCTTTACTGTGCAAGTAAAAAAATGTGTGTTTAATATTAAAGGTTTTTTAAGTTTAGGGCTCCTTTATAACATATAATACAGGCCCCGCAGTACCTTCATCCGGCATTGGTTCTACGCACAAAAACGCATTCCTCAGTGGCCCGGGCTGATGAGAGAATCGGTTCAATCACGCGAGCGATTTAATTTTTTAAAAATAGTTTTTAACCGAGCTCACAGCTCCAGAGTGTGTCCGGCTTGGAAATGCCACGTTAAGTACGTCACTGAAAAGTGCATACACGTCACTCGACAGTTATCGATCGTTATTGGAGCATTACTCCCCATCGAGTATCGATGTAATGAAGTGTGCCTAACCAGTATCGACACGTAAATATGTGTAGCGCGAATTAAGGGGGCGTCCATAAATGACGTCACGCGATTTTGGACGATTTTTGACCCCCCCTCCCTTCGTCACACGGCGTCACAAAAAGTCAGACCCCCCCTCAAATATGACGTCACAAAGCTCTGCCCCCCCCCCCCAAAAAATAAAACATGCTTCAAATCGCTTTAAACTATGGTCATTGTAGTACGTATTTAATGTAGCGCTGCACTCTGACATTGTAGGAGAAAACATTTATTAAAACATCTATTTAATTAAGTAGAACGTGTTGTCTATATTTATTTAAAGTTGCGCATTTTGATGTGACGTCACGTTTCTCAACCCCCCCCCCCCCCTCGTGTACACATCGTCACAAATGTCTGATCCCCCCCCCCCCAGGTGCGTGACGTCATTTATGGACGGCCCCTAATGTATTATGATGTAACATAAGCATGTAGTGCAATCAAATTGTTTCATCGCGTAAGTAGAGCATATGTTCGTTTGTTCTGTGTTGCAATATCTAACATTTATTTTAAGTAAAACAAACTATTTATACAAATACATTGAGCTCTTGGTATCACTTCGTGCCACTCCCAGCTCTATCCCTTGTGAGTCACGCTGATGACATCACCACCACCGCTATTTAACGCCGAAGACCCGATAACATTTTCACATTTTTGGAAACTCGCGTGTTTGTTCAACTTATTTCGCACCCTACGTAGCCAACCGTGCTAATATGAGTTGCGGGGGGAATGACAACAAACTAAACACACACACACACAAACTGCTTTAAAGAAATTAGTGGTTTCCTAATATCGAAAGAGCGTTCCAGACGGCCGCAGACGCGCATCTGTAAGTGCCTGATGATGATGATGGTGCTGGCTGAAAACCACCACCGAATTGTCGGACTACCCAAATGCTCAACGCAACACTATTGGTTTGGTGGTGCTGTTGCTTTACCACCATCACCAACGCTATCACTAAAACTACGACTACCACTTAATTATAGATTTGAAGTTTTCGTGACTGCAAGGATCCATACTCTTTGGTTCTATTCGGTAAAGTCACGTAAAAAACAAAAAAATCAAATAAAAAAATATATATTTTACGTGACTTTACCGAATAGAACCAAAGAGTATGTTTTAAAAGGTTTGAAATGGGTGTAGCCCAAGGGTCATAAAGAAGTGGCTGGGTCTAGTGATGTTAATGTCAGAAATTAGCATGTAACTGGCTACGGAAGTGGCTATGTTATTGTGAGAGATTAGCATGATGTTAAAGTGAGAATGAACACGGCGTCACCAAACAACGAACGGCTGCTGTTGTTGTTGTTTGAGAGACGCAGCAGTGGTTAGGAGACCTTAACTCCCTCGCCTGGTATGTAGGATATCGTGGGTTTGATCCCGACCCTGACTATTGCCTGCTGTTGCATTTCTCTCTCCCCGTGGTTGCGTGAATTTTTCTCCGGGTCTTCCGGTTTTTCCCTCCACGTTTATAATCAAACGAGCGTTGACATTAATAATAGGGGTTTTCCCCTTTTTTCTGGCAACAAAACTGAAACCTTTTTACAAGGATTCATGTCTGCATTAACCACAATACCTGCAGTCAAAATGCAAACAAAAAACATACTATGATAATATATGCATTGTCCTTGAAACTGATTGGTCCACACCAAGGGACGGCTTTCTTTTGAGCCTCGACCCAATTGGTGCTCGACCAGATAACGCCAAAAGGCGTACGCATTTTGGTACTGGCAAAGGAGGTCTAATGATGAGCGTTCACATTGTTGAGATTTTGATTTAAAGCTTTCGTGACTGCAGTGATTCATATTCTTGGTTCTTTCGGTAAAGTCACGTTGAAGGGAAACAATAAAATAATAAAATATATATGAAACAATTAAATATATTTTATTATAGTATTGTTTCCCTTCAACATAACTTTACCGAAAGAACCAAGAATATTGTTGAGATTATTTCACTGCGATAAATTTGCGCAAGGTACAAGCCACTTCATATTCTTAGCTCTTTCGGTAAAGTCACGTTGAAGGGAAACAATAAAATAATAAAATATATATAAAACAATAAAAAAATTATCACGACGTTTCGACCATAACACAAACGGTCATCATCAGGTGTGAAAACCAAAGGCAAGAAACATTTGAAGAAGTGGCGGTTTGCATTTATTATTTTTAAACGGTGTTTTTATTTATTTAAGAAAACGTTAGCGCCACGGATAGCGATTTGACAGTTTGTTTAGAGGGACTAGTCCATCTATGTTCTGAAAAGAGGAGGGGGGAGACGAAAAATTAATGTATGCTGTCTGAAAGCCACCGTAAGCGTGAACAATCAATTAAGACCTGAAATGGTTTATCAAATCTTTCCAATGATTGCTAAGCCAGAATCCATCTTCTCGGTTGAAATTGCCTCTGTGCTTGTATATATTACAAGCCACTTCGTTGAGCGATAATTATTCGTGGCCAGGTCGCTTCTGAAAAAGAAGCTAAAAGTTCAGTGAGCTTTACTAATGGTAAGATTAAAAAAATGTTTGTTTAGTTTTAATTTGAATACGTTAATTCAGCGATTTGTTTTAATTCCCATATACTTTGCACTCCGAATTGTGTTTTTTCTGGTACTGGTTCTTGTTGTAACGTTCTGACCCCGTGCCCCCGCTAAAGATCTGCCAAAAAAGTTTTATATTTGACCGGATTCCTCCTGCACTATAAATAAAGATTCTGATTCTTTTCGATTTAAAGCTTTCGTGACTGCAAGGATTCATCTTCTTTGGTTCTTTCGGTAAAGTCACGTAAAATGAGAATAAAATAATAAATTAATAAAATAAAATAACACAATTCTCACGAAACGTAGTGAGAATTTTATTGTGTTATTTTAATAATTTATTATTTTATTCTCATTCTACGTGACTTTACCGAAAGAACCAAAGAAGATTCTGATTCTTATTCTGTTGACATCTGGCCACATTATTCCGACTATTGATAACACTGTAACAAAAAACATTTTGTCCCTGTGTAGTATTCGTTATTTTCCAATTGCTTATGGCTCAAAAGTACAAGAAATGCCTGTTATTTCCCACAAACTTTGCTTTTGTGACCAGGACAGTGAAATTGTCGTTCCTTCACATAAAGTCCTGGTCAGAAAAACAACGTTTGTGGGGAATAATATCCATACTTCTGAGGCATACGCAATTAGAAAATAACACTTTTACTACCCAGGAACAAAAATCGTGTTACATCGTGTACTCATTATTACAATTACATGATAGTGTGTGCGGTACGTAATCAAAAAGATAATGATAGGGAGACTAGTAGGTGACAACTCCGCTGTTGACTGAATATCGTGAAACCCCCATGAATTTAAGCGTTTGTGGTTCCACCGCGCCCGTCCAATCAGAGCGCGGGCTTCCAAATCGAACGTTGTGACCTCGCCGCCGCATTCACCTCGGTGTGGCGACATTGCGATTGGTCGAGGCGCGCTCGCGCGACGCCTGCGGGGCACCCAGCCAATCGCGTGCGCGCACCTCCTCCCCCCCTCCCCACCTGAGCGTGGTAGGCGGGGGGCCTTCCGAGGCACCAGCCAATCGCGTGCGCGCACCTACCCCCTCCCCGCCTTAGTGTGGCGGGGCGGAACCCCTGAGGGGCACCAGCCAATCGCGTGCACGTACCTTCCCCCCCCTCCCCACCCTCCCTTGGGGGAGTGACGTCACAAAGCCTGACGCCGTGGTAGCCGTGCTGGGTAGGGAGAGTTACATGTAATCTGACTATGGTTGATGAGTCCGAGTGTTCAAAAACCCATTTGGAGTTTTTGTTCGCGTTGAACAACGCTGCTCGCAATTAAGCAGTCCCAGAAAGCCAAGTAGGCGATGAATACGTGTTAAAAAAATGTAACGTTGAAGATTTGTATGGAATGGCATAACGTTACTGTGCTTGTAAAATTCGGTGAAAAAATTACGTTACTACATTACGTTTGCGGTTGTGCACGAATAAAATCAATATAAAAAAAGCAACAACGCGATTCCTCGAAAACACTCCCATTAATAACGGAGCAATATTCATTCGCAATAGACTCGATAACATTTATTTACACGGTGCCGTCCCGCGCCAAGATGGCCGACCGTCTGCTTCAACTTCCAATCTCCCCCCCCCCCCGGCGATTTAAAAAGGGCGGGAAGCGCGCGCCGCGGACGACAGAGCAGCGCGGACGACGAACGGACCCACCGCAACGAACGCGACGATGGCCGTTCCCTCAGCAGCACCTCGTCACCCGTTCTGGCCCCGCGACCTCGTCATCCCGGGCTACGTGGCGAACGACACCGCCACCAGCACGGTGCTGGCGTTTCTGTTCGTCACGTCGGGCGTGCTGGTGGCGGCGACGTGGCTCTACGCGGGCTCGTCGCCCCATCGCCTCTCGTCGACGCGGCGCCTCGTCTGCTGCTGGTTTGCCGTGTGCGCCTTCATCCACGGCGTGATCGAGGGATGGTTCTCGCTCTTCCACCGGGACATCGCGGGCGACCAGGCCTTCCTCTCGCAGCTATGTGAGGCACCCGGGGAGATGCTTACGAAGAAGCCTCACGTTGTTGTTGTTCTTCTTGTTGTTGCTGATGCGTTGTTGTCCTCTGCGCTTAGTCTCGGGAAGGGTGAGGGGGAATCTTAAGTCATTAAATCTTAGTCATTTGTGAGGTAAACATTGGTGCAGTAAGCTTGACGTGACAAGGGCGCTCCGTCTCGCAGCTCTGTTGAGTGACCGTGTCAGAATCGCGACGTTATTTTTTTTTGTACCGGAGGAATCCGATGAGCTATAAAGCTCTATGTGCCGGCGGGGTGGGGTGGGGGGGGGCTGTCACGTGACTGTAGAATCTCAGTCACTGGTGAGGTAAAAACAGTGGTTGACAGGGTCGCGTGGATAGACTCGGGGCGTTTCGGTCAAGCAATGTGGAATTCCCAGTCGTTGGTGAGATAATAGATTCACCCACTGCCTGCTGGAACGCCATCTCTCCCCCCCCCCCCCCCCACCAAGCCGCCTGTGCTGTCATCTCTCTACTGCAGGACTCTGCCAATCTTTGGAACCTTCTTACCCTCTTTGGAACCCACAGTGACAAAAGTCGCTCTCGTCAGATCTCTGGAGCCGAGCAGGGGGTCGTCGTGAGTGAGCGTGCCAGGTTATCACAGGCGCCTCGAGTCCGGCAGTGGATGATATGTTAAGGCGGCTTAAGGTGTTCAAACACCAAATATAAACCTTTTGCAAGGGGTCGCGTCTTGCGCGCGTTGGCCACGCGCGGCGCTTGCGGTGAACGTGCGAACGAACATGCTCCGATAATACAAAATACGCATTGTCTTTGAAACTGACTGGACACGTGGATTGTGGACTTGCCCAAGGGGGGCTTTACGTGGTCCATAAACGCATTAATTATGGCTCGGTGGTGAGCCATGCCCAGCTACAGGTTGGCAAAGACCAATCCAGTCAGGACATCAGCGTGAAGACAACAGCATAGGCACGACTGTCATCTCCGGCAGTTGCAGGAAGAGAATCGTATTTTATCCATGGTTATTCCGTTTTTATATATATCAAAATCAGAATATTTACACTGGAGGAATCCGATGAGCTATAAAGCTCTTTTTCACAGATGTCCAGGAGCGTCGCCGTGCGTGAAAATTGCACCACGCAATCGCCGAGGGCCCTAAGACAAGCTGGAGGGGAGCAGCCAGGCTGTGGGCCGTCGTCAACAATTGCCCGAGCTCTGCCATCCTCTATACAGTCACATGTTTTCAGCCGATTAACGAGTATTTGCACACGTGGGAGGAAACTGGAGCACCCGGAGAAAATATACGTGTGCGATGGGGCAACGCTCAGTCCCATACAGAAGGGACGGATGACATGCAGTATATTCATCTGAACTTTGCTGTACCGCATTCTGCTGGCGAGCGAGTGTATGGTGGCTACCCCAACGCACACGGGAAAGAAGTTTCGCAACATCTGTGTGCGATCCTCAAAACCTCATGACACTGTAATAAGATAAGATGCTAGGTTTAATTATTTTTGTTACATTACTTTTCAACATTTCAGCCAGGGAAGATAAAAACGAGTCTTATCTCGCAATGAGAGTTATCTCAAAAGTGAACCAACCTTTAATGTTTTATCTTTGCCCTGTGACCTAGTCCACAATGCAAAGCTCCGGGTGTCTGACTAAACCTGTGTGTGTGCTGAGAGACGGCCTTCGGGTGGCTGGGAGGTCAGAGCGTTGAACTGGCACTGCTGAGAGCCTGGGTTTAAGTCCAAGTTTGAAGCACCTGCGATTAAAACGAACGGCTTCTAGAGTGTAGAGTTTTTTTCAGTTTCCTTTATTTGGTATAGCCCTGTGAGCCATTCGGCTCTTGAATCGGGTGCAACCGCAACAAACAAAAACATGAACAAGAAAACATATTAAAGTGACTTTGTGCAAACTGAAAATCCAAGAAAAGACAGCAAAATATTGCAGAAAAAGCACCGTACACTAAGGCTGTGTGCAAAAATCCCAATGGGATGCAAGTCAAACAACAACAACCACAAGACAACTTAGATTAAGGCCATCAGTATAACTCCGTACTACAACAAACATGACCAAACCAAAAAGAGGGGTTATGGTATCAGCCCGGTCACCAATAATTGCTTGTTAAAAGTACATCACAGTAACTTTGGTCTTGCATTTGATTTGGCTAAATTCTAACACTGCCATGTGATGAACATAACTCAAGTCTGTGCACTTGATGACTTTAAGGGGTCTCAGAGATAGCTCTGAGATATATGCTTCCGCAACATGAAGGGTTTGTGTGTTTCACTACTTGTGTCAGTGTCTGACTTTGCCAGTGTGTGTGTGTCTGTGTACGTATGTGCATGTCTGTATATTTTACTCTGTTTCGCATTGTGTGTCTGGAAGCCTGGGTGTGTCTCTGTCTTACTGTGTCCATGTGTCTCTGTGTGTTTGTACATGCCTGTGTATTTCGGTCTTATTGTGTATCTTTTTTTACGTGTCACGGGGTCTTTGCAGTGTGTCTCTGCGTCTCACTGTGTGTCTCTGCGGTGTTGTTATTTTCCCAGGGAAGGAATATGCAAAGGGAGACAGCAGATACATGACGTGAGTACAACCAGACGGATTCGTCGTCCACTCCTCCGGAACACCACCCACCAGCTTGAGAAAAGTTTGAACCAAAATGCAGTTTGCCAGGGGAGGTGGCCGAGTAGCTTTGGGTGGCCAGAGCGATTAGCCGGTAGCGCTAAGACCCCTGGGCCTCAATCCGGGTTTCAGCCGCGTGTGATGGGCGCTACAGTGTCAAGATGTTAACTACACTCGCCTGGTATATAGGAGGTGTCGTGGATTCAATCCCGACCATGATGCCTGCTGTATATTTGGAGTTTCTGTGTTCTCCCTGTGGTTGTGTGGATTTTTCTCCGGGTCCTCCGGTTTTTCCCTCCACATCTAGAAACGTCCATTGATTTGAGTATTTGGCTGCTATAAATTTCTACGAGGTAAGCCACTTCGCACATCTATAATTTGTGGCCAGTTTGCTTCTGAAAAAGAGCTATGTAGCTCAGTGGGCCCTTACCTGGTAAAATAAATAGTTTCTTTTCGATTAAACTGGGTTCTTAAGTGAAGTGAGTTAACGGTCCCGGGCCAATATCACCAAGTAGCTGCGTACAAAAAAAATTGGCTCTGTGCAATAATTTGGCGAAATTCAGGCACAGCAGTGCAACCCTTTATGCTACGGAATGGCCCGCAGAAGTGGAATTCATAGAGCTCTGCCTCTGAGAGTTCCACAAGTGACCTCTGGTCGACACAGTAGCAGGGTGCAGTAATTACCCACACGCTCCACATTAGAGAGTACTGTCCGTTGCACGACCAAAGACAAACCGATATTTTTCTCAGAGCTAGAAATATAATGGGATGGGTTTTTTTTATTGGTGAGTGGGCTGAGACCATCTCCCTACAAGTTGAGACGAGGTTTAATCACAGGCGGCTGGAACTCTTGATTCGAACCCAGGATATCAGCAGCGTCGGCTCGGCGCTCTGACTTGAGCGCCACCCAGCCACTCTTGTTAAACTTACATCTGCAAGTTGCGGGGTGGGTCCTATTCTCCCCTGAATCTCGGAACGTGCGAGCGGCTCTGCGTTAATTTGACTTAGAGGGGCATAGCGCCATTGTTTTTAAAGATTGTACTCACCGTAGAGAACCCTAGTGACACAACCGCACTCTACGATAGCTGGCGCCAAACTGCGCCATGCGCCCTCCCCCGCATGGCCTTGTGGGGAGCCTCAGTACGCCTTCCGATCTGAAGACGTACCGATAACGTTATTTTTACACGTACGTCATCGGAATGGGAACGATTAATAGGCGCATCCCACTAACCGCTGGGTGAACCTGCGTTTGTCTTGTTTGCAGCTCGGATAACTTCACCGTATGCATGGAGAGCATAACTGCGCTGGCTTGGGGCCCGCTCAGCGCCTTCACCGTGATGGCGTTCGTGCACAACCGGCCCGAGAGATTTGTGCTGCAACTCGTGGTGTCGCTCGGTGAGCTCACCTTGGCGGCTCACTTCAAGTCGGGGGGGGGGGGGGGGAGAGGAGGGGGCGGAGGGGGAGGAAGTTGAGGAAGGAGATGGGGAGGGAGGGAGCGACGGATGGGGAGGGAGTGGAAGGAGAAGGGACTGAGGGGTTGTCGGCGACGTTAAGGGAGAGAGGGAAGCGAGGGAGGGAGAGGAGGGGGAAATGAGGTAGGGAAGGAGAGAAAGAAGGAGGAAGGTTGGGAGTCGAGGAGATGATACTCGCATGATACTCTCAGTAACAGACGCACATCATAATGGACAGTGTCAAAGAGTTAGGCCTAAAATGACCACGGGCCATGTGTAATGAAGTCTCATGAAACGAAATTACCGGACACAGGTTCCCCCCGCCCCTACTGCCCTGCTCTGTCTCGACATCACTGATGATGACTGCTTGTGTTGCAGTCGAAACGTCGTGAGACTTTAATTGTTTTATATTTTTATAATTTTATTGTTTCCCTTCTACGTGGTGACTTTACCGAAAGAACCAAGAATATCGCTGTCGCGTCACTGCTGCGTTGTTGACGACGCCATCGTCTCGCCTGTGCCCCCCAGGGCAGCTGTACGGCGACGTGCTGTACTTCTGCACGGAGTTCCGCAGCGGCTTCCAGCATAGCGAGCCGGGCCACCCGCTCTACTTCTGGTTCTACTTCGTCTTCATGAACGCACTGTGGATCGTGCTACCGCTCGTGCTCATCGTGGACGCCTGGGGCCAGCTGTGCAGCGTGCAGACCCGCGCCGATGTCGCCGGTCCCTCGGCTGGGGCTGGCGCCACCGGCAAACTCAAGCGCAAGTGACAACGGGAGGAGTAGGTGGCAGCCAAATGGCTAATCCAGCGAGGAGGAGGAGGGGGGGTGGTGTGGTGATGGAGGTGATGGTGAAGGTAGTGCTGGTGGAGGAAGAGGGAGCGGTGTAAGAGGTGATGGAGCAGAAAGATTGAATGAGGAAATGGAGGTGAATGGGGTAGTGAGGATGAAGAAGAGGTGGATACGATGAAGGAGATAAAGATGGTAGGAGAGGTTCAAGGGATGATAGGTAACAGAGGCGGTAGAATATAAAGAGGCGGAAGAGATAGTATAACAGGTGGGGAAGGAAGAGGCTGGTGTAGGTGGCAGATGAGAGGGGTGGAGGAGATAGTTGATCATGAGGTGAATGAGATGGTGAAAAAGACGGTGGAAGACAAATGAGTGGATGACGATGACGAGGTGAAGAAGGAAGCCCACAACACCGCCTGCCCTCACCGCTCCCCCAGATGAAGAGTGCTCCTGTTACATCTAAAGGCGGCGATGAGGTGGACGGTGGCTCATAATGGCCGGGCCACCGAGCCCTCGTCACTGCAGTCGTGGCTTAAAACTTATGTCGGGTTTCTCTCTCATGGTCTACATTCAGTGGCTCTGGCCATGTCCAAGCCACTGAATGGACACCACTAAGATCCTGAGGCCACATCGTCGAGTTATCCGAGCTTTCATCCCCTTATTCTCGCGAGGGATTTGTCCAGGTACTGGCAATGCCACAGATTACCCCGCGCAGCTGTAGCTGTGCTCGTTTTCAATCGAAGTGTTAGTTTGGTCAGTGTGTTTTGTCTTTTTCGTCTCAGTCTGGTCAACAACAGTGTGTGGAATTTGTCAAGTTTTAGTCTGGATTTCATGTGGTCATTAAAATCCTAAAATGCTGAAATAAAATCCACAGACTGACCTGACATAAATTCCTAGGGTTGTCCCGAATGGGCGAGACTAAGACTGACTAATTTTACACTAAACGTAAGTGTTTCTGGTGTATTATAATAGTTTTGTGGTGACCAGTGGGTATGCATTTACTGAGGAAGTAATTTTAAGACACTCAGTGGGTTATTTTTGTATAATTTACGAAAATCGTGCTCCTTAATTTTAATATCGAGTCTGTGTGATTGAATAACGTTTTTAAAGTCTTGTGTACGTCGCACTGTTGTGCAACGCGCTGATTTGAAATGGGATAAAACCCTTGGTGGAGATAGTTTTTGGTCGCGTGCAACGCTGTGGTGAGAGACTGGCGAGCGGATGTGGAAGAGCGTCTGTGTTACCGCGGCGCTACAATTGACGCGCTGTTGCGAGTACATTGTTGGTCGAAGCCCAACTGGTGCGTGTTTGCGAACATTAGTGGTTTCTCTGCATCTGTGCGTCTGCGTGTGAACGAATGTTGTGTGTGTGTCTATATATGTGTGTGTGTGAGTGGGGAGCGGCAGCGTCGTAGTTAGCGCGCTGCGCTACGAACCCCGCGACCCGAGTTGGATTTCCGCACACGGCCAACACCGGCTACGATTATCTGAACCGGTCCTGGGTCTCTCCTAGGTCCACGCACAACCAATAAATACCTGATGGGATGTGTAAACATCGCCGCGCAAGAAACAAAGGCGGCCGGGCGTGGTGCTGGCCCCCCACCCCCTTCGCCTTCATATGTGCTCGCTAAAGGCACTTCCCATAAAAGGCCATGCGGGGAATCTATGTCCCGTGTGTGTGGTGAGCGGCAGTGTCGTGGTGAGCGGTACGCACCTGGCGACACGAGCGAAACGTGGTTTTTATTTTTTTGTCAATCGGCGGGCAGGTCGCGCGTGGTGGGTTTGGTGTGGGGGAATTCCCGTGCCTGCCCGGCGTGGAAGGGGATCGAGCCGGTGTGCCCGTATCTCGCCCACCACGGCCAGTCCACACTCCGCTCCGCACCCGACTCCATCCCTCGCTCGTGACCGTTGTCATTAACCCGCGACCGCTCATCGCCACCATCAACCTGCAACGGACGCGCCCCGTCAGCACCGCCTCTACCCCGTCTCACTCTGCCTCATTTGACTCAGAAATGCCACAACCGAGAAAGCCACTTTACTCCAATTAGATTAATTAAAGAAACCGCCCATCCCGCTAAACAACACGCACACACTTGCCCACTCATCAATTTGACCAATTGGGGGTAGTAACGACACTATCGTGTGCGTGGCGTCACACTGCACGTGGCGCAGTGCGGAATAAAAATCGTGAGACGGCTATTGGCCAGTGGCAAGTGTGGTGGTATGGCTTGCAGCGTTAGAGGCCATCCATTTAGTCGGCACGCAAAAATCTGTCAAAACTTGACCCCGTCCCTCCCTGTACGCGTACTTTTTACACCTTTTTGCCCCCTGTCTGCGTACGTACGCTTGACGCACGCACCCCCCCGAATCCTATAGTAGACCCATGCGCAAGCTACGCATTTAGGTTAACCCCCCTCCATGCGTACGTACTAAATGGATGGCCCCCGAGTATAGATTACCCGCCTCGCAATGATCCTGACGACTTCGTTAGATTCCGACGAACGTCGACATCGCTACAGAATTTAGTGTTGAACCAATCCTTCCGAATTTATAGCACCCCCTCAGGAGGCCGCTTATGGGAGGTGTAAAAATATATCCGTGTATGATGAGGGACAAAGGGGGGGGAAACCCCTATATTATGGACTAGCTGTACTACCCGGCTTCGCCCGGGACTTGGATTCACCACGCCCGGCCGCCTTTGTCTCCCCAGTGGCGATGTTCACACCACAGCAGTTACTCGTTTGATGCTGAGTCGACCTAGGGGAGGCCCAGAACCGGTTCAAATAATCGTCACCGGTGGTGGCCGTGAGCGGGAATCGAACTCGGGACGCCGGGTTCGTAGCGCAGTGCGCGAATCGCCACGCAGTCGCTGCCCCGCCCCCCACACACACAGGATAAAGACAATCCCGCGTGTAGCCTGTAGGGGGCAAGTGCTGTTAGCGAGGAGCACCTATGAAGGCCGGAACGGCACACGAGGGGGTGGGTGACAGCAGCACGCCCGGCCGCCTTTGTCTCCCCAGTGGCGATGTTGACACCACAGCAGTTACTCGTTTGAGGCTGAGTCGACCTAGGGGAGGCCCAGAAGCGGTTGAAATAATCGTCGCCGGTGGTGGCCGTGGGCGGGAATCGAACTCTGGTCGCCAGGTGAGCGCGGCGCGCTGACCGCTACACTACATTGCGTTACGCTTCCACATGCGCGGGTCACGTGACAGATTTGACGTCACAGCTCACTTGCCGTGCAAAAAAATATGCATTATTAAGCTCCCCCCCCCCCCCTAAAAAAACCAAAAGTATCTTTTTTTGTATAATTTTTGCATGGTGTACAGTCTGGAAAGTACCCACATGGCAAATTTCAAATTTGTTGCATGTCGGGAAGTACGCTAAACATTTTGAACATACACATTCACAACTTTGCCTTTTATATATATGACTTAGCTTGTAACTTTGTGATTATTGGCGCCAGATGGCGCTGTGACATCACTATCATCTGCACCGCAATGATGATCACTTCACCACACCCACCATCATCCACCACCAACGCAACGCATGACCGTCGGATAATCTTCATCGCCACCATCATCACCAGCCGCCGTCATTAAGATCACCATCGTCATCAGTGTGGTCCCCCACCACGGTCACTCACCATCGTCACTATAACCACAGTCACCAGCATCACCATCGCCGATAACTGTCACAACACATACCATCCTCATTCTCCCGTGGGATATTTTATGGAGCCTTAGCACCAGACAGCTCCTGCTAAAAATTAAGCCCTGCCTAGAATCATCGTGGTTGCATCACTACAACCGTCACCATAAATGCAATCAGAATCACCTTCATCGCCACCACCGCCATTACAACAACCACCGTTACCACCATTATCATCACCATCCCACCATCACTGCAACTACCATCATCAAAATCACGATGGCGAACAACCACCAAAACCACCACCATCACTCTCCAACCACCATAAACAACAACCGCCGTTCACCACAAAGTGGCGGTGACGTCCCACGGCGCTTGTGTCATGCTCGGTGCAGCAACAAAAATAAAACAAAGATCCCCCGTGTAGCCCTAACAGACTGTTGGGGGCAAGTGCTGTTAGTGAGCAGCACCTATGAAGGCCGGCACGGCACACGAGGGGGTGGGGTGGCCAGCACCACGCACGGCCGCCTTTGTCTCCCCAGTGGCGATGTTTACACACCGCACCGGGTTACTCATTTGAGGCCGAGTCGACCTAGGGGGAGGCCCAGGACCGGTTCAGATAATCGTCACCGGTGCTGGCCGTGAGCGGGAGTGGAACTCGCGTCGCCGGGAACGTAGCGTAGCGCAGCGCTACAAGGGCTCGCACTACCGCTCCCTGTCCAGTCGTCCATCACCTTCAACCATCACAACCAAAATCTTCAGCGGCGGCGTCACACCGGAGCAGCACCACGTGACTCCCCGTGCTCCCCACAAGCCCCCGCACACCACGTGACCTCCCCCCCCCCCACCAAAATCCTCCGCTCGCTGATGGTGACGTCAACACTCGCGCCCCCCTCCCAACCCCACGGTAACCACGTGACTGCGGCCATCGCGCGCCCCCTCTCCCTCTCGAGCGGTGACGTCACGCACGGGTCACGCCTCACCGCACGCGCGTGGTCGACGTCACAGCCCCGGACACGCCCCTCCCCCCCCCACCGGGTAACCCCACCCCACCCCCACCACCCGAGCGAACCCACGTGGTCGCGTTTTCCTGGAAAGAGGAGCGCGCGTGGTTGACCTCCACTCGCTCATTCATTCCGCCTCTCTCGCCCCTCTTTCGTTCCACAACCACCCCCCCCTCTCTCTCGTGTATTTATTCCACGGTGGTAGTGTGGGGGGAGGGAGGGAGAGAGAGAGAGCGAGCGCGGGTTTCTTTATTTTCGTGGGTCCGTCTCGTTATTTATTTATTTAGCTCTTTATTTATTTACTGTATTTCGTTATTTCGCTGCTGGTCCCCGCCGCCACCGGGCGATTGATTGAGCTGCGAGCGGATCTGCGGAGAGCCCGGGATCGCAGAGGAGGTAAGAGAGGAGCAAGGAAGGAGGGGAGGGGGAGGGAGGTGGTGGTGGTGGTGGTATTAGGGGATGCGTGGGGATCCGGGATGAAGGGGTGGCTTGGGGCAGTTGAGAGGCAAGGGCTCATTCGAAGCTGGGGAGAGTCGGGGGAGAGATTGAAGCAGGCGCAGTCAGGGGGTGGGGGGGGGTACCACCGGGTAAGAGATGGAGCAGAGGGAGCAGGGAGACCGAAGAAGGGGCTTGGAGGCACGGAGAGATTGCAGCAGGGAGGCAGGCAGGGGATGAGACTGAGGCAGGGTAGACGGCCGAATCTGGAGGGGAATGAAGAAGGGACTGAGACAGGAAAGAGATCGGAGCAGAGGGAGTCAGGGACTAAATCACAGTAAGAGACTGAAGCAGGGAGAGACTGAAGCAGGGAGAGACTGAAGCAGGGAGAGACTGAAGCAGGGAGAGACTGAAGCAGGGAGAGACTGAAGCAGGGAGTGACTGAAGCAGGGAGAGACTGAAGCAGGGAGAGACTGAAGCAGGGAGAGAAGCAGGGAGAGACGAAGCAGGGAGAGAAGCAGGGAGAGACTGAAGCAGGGAGAGACTGAAGCAGGGACTGAAGCAGGGAGAGACTGAAGCAGGGAGAGACTGAAGCAGGGAGAGACTGAAGCAGGGAGAGACTGAAGCAGGGAGAGACTGAAGCAGGGAGAGAAGCAGGGAGAGAAGCAGGGAGAGAAGCAGGGAGAGACTGAAGCAGGGACTGAAGCAGGGAGAGACTGAAGCAGGGAGAGACTGAAGCAGGGAGAGACTGAAGCAGGGAGAGAGTGAAGCAGGGAGAGACTGAAGCAGGGAGAGACTGAAGCAGGGAGAGACTGAAGCAGGGAGAGACTGAAGCAGGGAGAGACTGAAGCAGGGAGAGACTGAAGCAGGGAGAGACTGAAGCAGGGAGAGACTGAAGCAGGGAGAGACTGAAGCAGGGAGAGAGTGAAGTGGAGTCAGGCAAGGACTGACTGCTGCAGGCAGAAACGAGGTTCGAGGGGGGTGAGGGAAGGAATCGAGTCAGGAGCCATCCCTGCCGCACAACCCCGTTACTGTGACCATCAGCGGCAACTCGACTGCTGGGGTGTGTCTATAGACTCCAGCTGTAGATA